CCCTCTGCAGTCCTTGGCCAAATGTCCATTTTTTGCCACACTTGTAACATACTTCACTTCTGTAGGGGCCCTTGCAAGAGGTGGCGATACGGCCAACGCCTAGATATTTAAAACATCTGCTGACCTGGTGCTTCATCCTAACGTGGCAAGTAAGCCAGCCAATCTCAAAATTCTCTGCTTTGAGTAGAATTTCTGGCACGAAGGGAGCGGTGCAGTCGCTACCTGTCTGCCTCCGTACACCTTGTATAGTCTCCAGGTCGCCAGGGAGGGGGGAGTCCCCCGTAATGCGTGTGACAGCATCTCTTACCTCACCTAGGGTAACAGACTCATCAATACTCCTTAATTCAATTAAGGTTTTTGGGTGAAACGTATTGATGTTTACCCTGTCTCCTATTGCACGGGTGATTGCTTCGTTTAGGGAAGTGGGGTCACAATCTTTCTCCAGGACTATCAGGAGTTCATCTTTACGTGTCCTCCTGATCGTCTGGATATTAGCGTTGTGTTGCTTCGGGTCAACCGCTTCCTTCATTCTTATTAATATTTCGGCATACGATTGCCCTTCGTTGGCTGTCAGTTTGATGGCCTGGTTGATGGGTCTTCTGTTCCTTGCCTTGAGGGTTTGATTGCCTTCTTTGGTGGAACTCTCCTTTTTCTTGACCTTCTTCCTGTGTTCCACTTTCTGTCAGATCTCATCGGGATTTTGGTTTTTCAGTAACCAGCTCTATGACTTCATCCTGCTTGTCTTTCTTGTCTGGCCTCTTGTTTTGAACTGGACTTGGAGCTTGTATCTTCTTCTTCTTCTTCTGGGACTGTGCCGTTTTCACCGACTTCTTGTTTATCTGTTTGCCGAGTTTGGTATTCTCGGCCTTTTTGTCATTCTCTAGGATTATTTTCTCATACATCCCCTTTTGGTCTTCTTTAATGTTTTCCCACCTATTCTTTAGGGCATCCACCTCTTCTAGAGCTATAGCCAAGGTGTCCTTCACTATAACTGGGTTGCTTTTCAGGATGTTGCTGTTGATGATAATTGACTCTGTAGACGGGCAATAATCTCCGAATTGTCTTCCATCAACTTTTGAGTCATCACCCAGTTATTTGATGTCCAGCCCCTAGCTTACTATCCCCTGCCAACGTGGGCTCTTCTTGGACCAGGGTTGCCTTGTCTCCTGTGGGTACACCAGTTGTCGTGGGGGAACTTGGAGGTGTTTTTTCCGCAGCTTTGACTTCCCAGAAAAGGGGTTAAAACCTGCTTGCTCTATGCTTTCGCTTGTCGCAGTGTAGTATTTCAGAGACGCCATGCGGTTCACGTCTCTGAAAGTGCAGTCGCTGGTTGACGACCGCCGGGGGCCTGCTTGCCCACCCCCGGCTGCCGGTACTGGGGCTCCGATCCCCTACACCGTAACAGTTGATCCTGAGGGACCTTCCACCGCGGGTTTCTTTTCGGGGTCACCTTCCCCTAGCGTTCTGGATTTGGTCCACGGGTGGTATTTTATTTCCCACCTCCCCGCCGGCGTGGCCGGTAAGAGCATTCCCCGATCCGCCACCTGGGGACGCGTCCGATAGGAGACCAGCTACTCTCACGGAATTATTATTATTATTATTATTATTATTATTATTATTATTATTATTATTATTATTATTGGAGTTACATTTCTTCGTTGGCTCGCAAGCCCAGCTTGACCACAAATATAACAAACTCTTTGGACTGTTCACATATTTATTATTCATTAATGTTGCACAGATTCCATAGCCGTTTACACTCCACAAAACAAATTTAACTATTCATGGAAGTTAAGTCATGCAAGAATGCACAGGAATGAACTCTACATCCTCACCAATTCAGCCAAACGGTTTCTAATAAAGAGGTATTTTGTTTCACTCTTAAATTATATTCTAAATGTCTTGATTATTCACTGCTTACAGAGTAGCTGACATAAGGAATAAATAAAACAAACTAAACTTAAAAACATTTTTGTCCATAGCTGCAGAAAAGTAACGATAGGGAAAGGTTATATTCTACAAAAGACACACAAACAATTGGCTGTTTACGACACTATGAACTAATAGGTGACTTTTAACATTAGTTCCATCTTCAGAGGCTCAAGTTGAACAGAATAACTTATAAAATTATCCTGTAAGAAATTTGTGAAAGAAATGTAAGAAAACAGTGATATTAGCCACTTTGCATAGGTTACTACACACAAGAAAACTGCAGATATAAACCACTGAATGAGAACATATGGATTTTATTTCGTGTTAGCTAGTAACATATATGAAAGACAATTTTATTACGTAGATTAGATACCATGTTACGATACACCTGTTGCGCATTGAACAAGCTTCTATGATACATAAAATTCATAATTTATAAATGCTTGTGTACCTTACGTGCTCACAGCATTTTCAAAAAGATCCAGTAAACGTTTAATCCCTTTTCTAAAGGAATGTTAAAGAAAACTTTGATAGTGCATTGTTTATCAGAGAGTAACACAACAGTGGCATACATACATGCATACATACATACATACATACATACATACATACATACATACATACATACATACATACATACATGTATATTCATTACCCACAGTACTTACCAGCTTGTTTACTTTTACAAACAATCTAGTTCCATCAATAACATCATAAACATTCATTTTCAAAAAAAATTAAATTATTTTATTTCATTGATGATTCTTGAATACTAAGAGCAAATTACAAGAAATATTTAAATGAATGTTATCAAAAATAAAAATAACACAACTACATCAAATTAAAAATGAAACTTTGAAGTACATAAAGTGTGGAACTACATTACATCCTTTATAGAGTAATCAAGTGGCCTGTGTCCATCCGTGGAGTGAAAGAGGTTAGTCCACTTTCAACCTAGCTATTGAGGCAAATGAGGTTTGATGAAGTTCAGTGTCCCGATGGAGAATGAATTAATTTTTTGCATATCCATCCAGAAAGTTCTAAGAAATTTCCCTACAAAATGGGTTTTAAATTTTTTAGGGTGACTGATGGCTTCTACAGAGTTGATCAGTAGCTCATTCAATTCTTGTCATAAATCAATGGCACAATTTTCAAAAGGTTTCTGGAAGATTTCTAGAAAAGCTGATGTTTTTTATGGTTTCAATGCACCTATGAGAATGGTGAAGCACTGTGAATTATTATACTCTCTTTTGGACATTTGCATGAAACATTGCTTTACTTGTTAAATTATTGATTATTAAAACTAAATTTGTAATGAATTATTGAAAACATGATTGAGGGGGATCTAAACATGTTTTGAGACTTTGAGACACCTACCACAGAGGAGATAACATACAATTGCTCCACAAGAAAAATCAAACATCTCTTTTTGGTCAGATTTTTCTAAAATATTCTGGAAGAATTCTTAAAAAGAAAAGAAAAAAAAGTATTAAGGGTGTTTAAGGCACCTACTGTGCCAAAACCCTGTGAACTACTAAACTGTTCTTCTGGCATGATGTGAAGCTTTAGAATTCAGTTTATTGTATTGACAACAGTTAAACCAACAAATGCAATGAAATATGAACTTAAAAAAAGTTCTATGGATACTTTTTCCAACTGTGTTTTAGAGGGTGGCCAAGCCAGGAAACTTTATTATTTTTAATTTATTTTAAAACGACAAAGAAGATGAGGATGCCGCTGAAGAATAAATTTTAATAAATCTTTCTGATAGAAAAATAATAAAATAAATTAAATTTGTTCAGTAGAAAAGAAGTTATAAGTATTTTACAATCCTCAAAATAACCAAAGTGGTTTAGAATACATCATCTGGCTTCGCAAAACTGGCAAAGGAAAATAAACGCACCTTCAAAACTCTAACAGCAATATTTCATTACAGCCATCTACACAATACATATTAAACTTTTGTTACTACCATGTTCTTAAATAATGCCGTTCAATAGTCTATCATATTCATATTAGACTCAAATTAACCACTTGTCTTTCCACTGACACACTTTTCACTGGGTAATATCATTCCTTATTATTACAAGATCTGATTAAGGAACCATCCATAAATTACATAACAAATACGGAGTATTTTGAATACCGCCTCTGCCCTCCCAAACACACTCTTGAACTCTCCCTAATAATTACATAACACTTGTGACAAGCCCCCCATTTACAATAACTAATAAAAAATTATAAAGAAGTGTCAACAAATTGTATCAATGTTATTTGTGTTAAATATTAAAATTTATGATTGGAAAAGTCAGAATTATTTGGCGATACAGAATGCACCTAACAATAAGAATGGAGAAAATTTTTTAATTAAAATTTTTGAAATGAAGGAAGGATTCTAAGTGAGAAAATTTTTGACAAACCATGCAATAAGCTTTCATGGATGATGCAAGGGCCCCAAGTCTACAGTGTCAATTTCATTGAATTCTACAATAGCTTTGAATATTTTCTTCATATTCTTAACAGATTCAGTGAACAAATTAATGAAAAAATAATCCATTTATGTAACAATTTGTACATCATAACTTTTTAATCTATTCATATTTTTATTTTAATTTGTTAATATTTTAATGTTTTGATATAAAAATGATTATGAGGAATTATTTTTGCAAATTTTGAAAAATTTTAATTATAAATACCAGCATCATGTAACACCATGACCCCCTACCCCATGTATCACTGTGTTAAACCTCTCCCCCCTCTTTAACATTATATAATTTATGACAAAATATTTCAAATTAAAAGTAACTTTTGAGTTAAAAAAAAAAATTAAAGTTCTATGGAGGACATGAGCATATTCTGATGATACACCGGAAAGACACTGAGGCTTCCATTTCTGATCTCATTCTGCTCTTCAAACAAGGTCTTATCCAATACAACTGAATAAGACTGAAAACTCAACAAGTTTTCTGAGAAAATTATAAAATAAAATTCTTCCATCTTTCATGCAATACTAAACAACCAGAACTCTAAGAAAACCTAAAATCAACATTTAATTTACCAGATAACTTAAGTTAGAATTATCAACCAATAGTAAACATTAAAGTAAGAAAAGGATACATTTGTTCTGCTAATTTATAAATAGGCTTCATAGATTTGCTGAGTTCTTCACATTTCGCCATAAGTTGGTACATAGACTGGAAACAATGAAAACAAACATCAGCATAAAAATAAACACACACATTCCCTTGACTTTCAAAAAAATAAAATTGTTAAAAGCTGTACTATTATAATAAACTTTTCATATAATGCAGCAAGTTGCTACTTTATAAACAGAACTTTTTTTGAACCACACACCAGTCCTTTAGATCTGACCATCACATGGAGAAATATACAATGCAGTGCATAAATTACTGATTAGTCCATTTGTAACCAGGTCATTGCTTACGCTTCTGCCTAACAGTATTCTCAACCATTATTGAACACACTGAAAATCCTTTTTATATATTGTTGTAATACCATATCTAGAACATTTACCAGAATAGGTGTGGTGCAATTCTTTGTTTAACAAAGAAATAATTTTGCACTTCATCAAATCTAAACATTGCAATTTAAACTGTATTAGGAAGATATCAGAAATATTTAACATAAGTTAATAAGTACCAAACCAGTACATGAGTTATAGGTACCGAACTCCATTGTCATGTATACTATGCAAAATTAAAACAACTGAGTAAGGTTCACCTTCTTAAGTAATACTTCACCAAATGATGTTAAAGAAGTAGAATACTCAATACTAATTCTCTAAAATAGAATACTACAAAATTAAGTAAGTTGTACTCCCTTTAAATTAAATTATCTTACTAAGAAAGGTATAAAAAACAATGCAAATGACAGAGGTAATAGCTGTAGGTTCCAAATTGCGTAACCAAAAGATGTAAGGCTTTCACAAATGTAGTATGTTGGATCTATCCAGAAAAAAGTGTACCACAATGCATGACTGCAATGTCAAAATGTGTTGGTTATAAAAATCAATCAAATTTTAAAATGACATTGGATTACCACGATTTGACATTAGATTCCTCATACTCGGGTCAAAACACATTACTGGTAGTGAAGTACTACTTTAAAAGGTTTACAAGGAATAATTAAGCTAATATTAACTATGATTTATACAAGAACAGATTTATATCAATAAAAGTAATATTAATCAGGTATATTTTTTATAAATTATTTCTTGTTAATGTCACATACCACATTCAACCAAACAGTTTTGAACCTGTAAAGTATCTTGGTTTGGGAGACCAACTATTCTTTCAATTTATCCAAGTCTGTTGGAGCTAAATCTCTAATTTAATACTCTGATCTAGCAAGTCTTGGATCACAATCAGTGCACAAATGGAGCCTTTTAGGCCCCATTACTTTTTCAGATGAAACGAAAGGTTATGTGAATAAAATAGACATAATTTTGGATGATATGATGGATGACTTAGCTATACTTATCGTTAATTCAAGAAATGTAAAGGTAAAAAAATGATTAATCATTAATTCTAATTTTTTATTTTTATATATATTTTATTTTATATAAGTTTCACATTTGAAACATCATTAGTGAATTTTTTTTTTTTGCTTTTTTGATGAAATACTTCTCATAATTTTGATTTTACACGCAAGTAATACCATCCAATGAATATCTTCATTAGATTCACAAACTAACAATATTTTGATTTTACAATTTATTGGTTTGTTGTGCGTTTACATAACAAAAGAGAAACTGCTACGAAATCTTATAAGTTGTTTGTCTATAGTGGTACTCTCACTAGAATTGAATGCTTTCTGTTAGTAATCTTTGAAGAGAGACCATATACAGCTGAAGAGGGTATGCTTTAGAACGAATTTTAATGAAAATTCTTTTTCTCCATCATTGTGACAGTAGGTTGTATTTCGCCAGGTTACAACAGTAATGGCTCCATATTGTTTCAATAACTTGTATCTCTGTATTAGTTTATAGAGGATCTGAAAGAATAATGTTCTTTATTGTAATCACTAAATTCATCAATGTGACTGAATCATTCTATGTTCACACATTTTTTCTTCATACCGGTATATTATTATTTCAGAAATTCTGAACAAGATAAACTTTTAAAATATAGACAAATATCCAGGCAACAATAATATATATGCGCTACTGAGATTTTGAAACTATTTCTAAAAATGATATTTTAGCCATGCTGGCTCAACAATCAAGTTCCTACCGATTGCTTGACCACTTATCAGCAAGTAGCATCAATATTCACACCCATACAAGAACAAAATAAATAAAAACAAACTATGAATAGAGAGTAATGACCAGGTTTATCGCAACATGTTATCCCTTCATTCACAATATCAAGGCAAAAAAAATGTATAATCTACTTCTCACATTTCACTTTTTAAAAGGTCATATTAGGTTTAAAATTATAACAAATTAATTTAATTCTTTAAAAATATGTCCTTCCAAGTCTCTTCTTTAATGGCATCCCCATGGGTTCTCAAAGACCTCATTTCGGTAAAGTATGACAATTTTAATAAAACTTTTCATATTTTTCTAAAACAATGATAATCAAGAAAATGTGTAGAACATTAAAAAAGGAAGAGGTAAAAGAATATAGTAATGACCATTTTTTTAGACCTAACAGTTTTTGAGAATTGTCGAAGTAAATTAGGGGCTGCACCTAAAACAACCTACTTCTGCATCAGTTGGTTAAAAAAAACATTTCCTAGGCAATGATTTGTAGGAAAAGAAGCAATGTTACCTTTATGTTGGAATCTACAGCATCACACGTTTTACATACAGCATCCCGATAAATTTCTAAACAATCCACAGTAAGAGCGGATACCTGAAAACATTCATTTTACACATAAAAATCTATGTAAACCAATATAAATTGATAAATTTCCATTAAATCAATTTTTTTGACATACATACACTATGTAAAATTCCTGCTAAATTTTCTGTTAATGTATCGACAGAAGTAGCTATTTTACGTACTTCCATTTCTAAATCATTTAATACAGTCTGATTAATTGAGGGCAACTGTGGCATAAGAGCTTGTCGATACAAGCAGGGAGTAGATATACGTGAGCCAGGAAATGGTGGAGTATCTGTTACAGATGTAAAATGTTAATTACCAATTGTAAATCATACAAAACTTTTGGATTTGATCCAGTATTTTTATAAATAAATAAAGTAAGTTACTTACCTCCTTTTTTAGTGACAGGACTGGATAATTTGATTTTTGTTTCCAAATCTTCTGCTACAAACGAAACCATGTCTCCTTCAGTGGTTACTGTACCTTCTAAATGAAGGTTACCAAAGGCTTTGTGTAATGACCCAACATCTGATCCTCCTCTATGGTAGTTTTGAAGTTCTAATTTGTCAGGCCTCCTGCTGTCACAGTCTTGAATACCTTCTTCAGATTTCAATGTTCCACCATTCTTTCGTTTAACAGAACATTCTAAATCATAAGATCCTGGTGAAGCACCCAAGGATCTATTTTCATAAAGTGAGCCATCAGGAAGCGAAGCAACAGAATCGAAGGATATTTCAGAATAAGAAGCGGTCATCTCATGAAGCTGAAAAATAATTAAATAAAGAACTCAGATCTATGTATTAAATAGTTTCACATTTAAAAACTGACATTCTATAAAAATAAATCAATAACAAACATTAAATTAGGGTTGCAAGATACTGTCAAAGTTATATCTGAAAAATTAAAGCAACATTACCCTTTCTTCATACATGTCAATGGTTGACACCCCATCATTTCGAGGTGAAACGCGTTCGAGTTTGTTTGATAATTCTGTAGCAAATTCTGGATTGAAAGTTCCCAAATCATTTTCACATGCCGGACTATCGTCCGACTTCTGACGAATATTAGCCATTGTCAATTTTCAGAACCCTAGCATACGTTTTATGAGTCTTCAGAAATTGTTACATATGAATATTAAAACCAGTTTATATGGTAATCAATTACACTAAGTAATAGAATATTAAGGGAATATGCAAGGAAATTCTTATATATTTTATTACTCGATGAGGCAAAACGTACAAATGAAAATCAAAACAAAATTGTTATATTTGTAGCCACGGCACTACGACACCACACGTTCTAAATATATTTTACGTGTCGCGATCGAATCACAAGAAGTCTCCCCCACAATCCGAATTGCTGCGAATATTGCTCTGAATTGACAGTTCTGGGTAACAAAAGGCGATCGTCCAGCTTGTCCAATGTGGCCAACACAAAACTTGTGAATCGTTCAACGGATTGCGTTGGCAAAACTTGTCAGGTTTTGTAATGAATATGTAATTGAAGAAAATATATTGACAGACTAGCATATTTATTTTTTATTACAACGCATAATACAGAGAGTCATGTAGTGCTGCAGATTAAAATACCGATTTTTGACGCAAAAACTCTTTTAGAGAGTCTCCTCCCCCAAAAAAATAGATTTTTCTTTTTTCTACATGTAGAAATTTACTGCAAATGCGAAGTGCAATCAGAAGCCACATTTTGTGGGCCCTTAATACCAAAAAATGGATTTTTCCAAAACATCTATCCGTTCATCTGTGAACATCACTTTACTACGATTTAAATGTACGGCGAATTCAGTTTCGTCAGCTGGGACGCGACTATCTAATCGGGAGTTTCAATATAATATAACTAATCGATATAATATAATATAATATAATTAAAGTTGTAACAAAGTTCCCAAAGATTTGATAATTACTTCACAGCTGATCCCTGTCAATTCGCCTTCACCTTGCAATCGGTATAGTGCCTAACCGTACAAAGGATTTTCACCAAAACCAATATTGTCTTATCGAACTGTTTGCTATAGAAGATCCCTGACGTTGAAAACAATATTTTCATTTTAAGGAGTAAGTTGCATGAAGTCCCAATTTCATTTCCTTTTCTTTTTTAATTGCTCAATTAAAACTATTGCTAAAACTGCACATACTTTCTCGCTTGTATTTTCGCGCACAGTTACAAAAATTGTACTCAAAACATCGAAAAAAATTGTAGATGACCTTATTTCAAAATCTATTTTTAAGGAACAGGTTTCGATAAGGAGAAACTCTCTTATCGTCAGAATCGTGATTGTAGGAAGACGCTGAACAAGTTTTGAATTTTTGCAATTTTTCCGTCCTCCGTCAACCGAACAAGCACAGGCTCTAAGAAGTAATTCACATTCAGTTGCTTTGCAGCAGAGCCTTCATAGGAAGGAGTTAGCGAATGACCTTCAGATCAGATTCCCTTACGCAACATGCTCGACGAATTCTTGACAGATTACCATAGAATGAAAGCACGAGTTGAAAAACCAATAAATGCTGTGAAATGGGCGAATCGAATGTATAGTTATTTCTTCATAAAATATGTTTTTAAATCTATTGTTAATTGAAACAGAAAAATATATCTCTGCAAGATAATTGTCTCTGAATTACTGCTCGAATTAATCTAATAACGCAAGAAGTCCTGTTGCAAGGTCCATTCTGTCGAAGAAATTTAATCAAGAGTACCTAATCTAAATTTATTTTCGTTTTCTTCTAATAATACAGAGCAAACTAGCTAGAGATGACAGCGCACTGTTGCAGTTGCATGGAGGACATTCCCAGAAGCACGCAGTTTATAAATTTACTTCATTCTTTTAATTCAGATATTACTGTGAATTTACCTACCCGGAATACATTTAAATCACAAAGCAATAGATCAAATTATAAAAAACAAAACCACGACTAGATATGAAATAATAACAAATAATCTGGGTTACAGTGACCACAATGCACAAATCCTTACAAAATTCTAATAAGATGAACACAAAACAATAAATAATACATGCACGTGCAGAGCATTAACCAAAACTAACATAACATTATTTACGGACTACTTGCTGAAAGAATCATTGTATAACGCTATATTCACAAATGAAAAATATACAATATTTTTCACAAAGCTTTCATTTGACTTAAAAGTGTGCTTAAAAGAAATACTAGTATCTCACAGGGAATTACATCATCGTGTAAAAACAAACGTACACTTTACTTTATTTGTAAACATCGAAATGTATCACGCGGTTTCTATGTCTAAAATGATCCGGATATTTTGAACCTTTGTAACAAAACTAAAGCAATGTGGAATATTGTAAAAAATACGACTACATCATCGAGATACTTTGTAGAAACTGTTGTTTTAAAGGGTGATGAAAGAGAAGTAAGTAATCAGGTAAATGTTGCGAATCTCTTCAACCACCAGGTTTTCAAGAATTTCTGCTGATCTCACAAAGAGACAAAAAGCACAAAATTTTACGTTATACGCCTTCAAAAAAACATCGACACGATGTTTACTTCCGAAACATCTAATAAAATCCTCAGAATAGTCAGTAAACTAAAAAATAAATATTTACCTGGTTTGGATGAATTTTCGGATTGTGAACCGAGCTTTTAATTACCTGAATCCTAGCTGTATACATCCGTTAATACATATTTCAATTCTTCTTTATACACAGGAAGGTGTCCATATATTTTCAAAACAGCAAAAATTAAACCGCTTTTTAAAAAAGGAACAAATATGAAATTCAAAATTACTGACCAATTTCTCTTTTGTCAGTTTTCTCAACAATATTAGAGGGGCTTTTCTATATGCGAATGGAATCATAGGAAAAACGAAGCGTCTTCACACTCACAACACGGTTTTGGAAAATCAAAATCTACGGAAACTGCCATTTTTTTCTTTTCTGAAAGATGTTGCTTCATTAATGAACCAAAATGAAGCACTCATTGGAATATTCTTAGATAGTTCGAAAGCTTTTGATGTTATTGTCAATAACATCTTGCTATCAAAATTACATTCTTCTGGAATTCGTGGTATCGCCCTACATTCGATAACCTCGTACCTTTAACATCAATCTCAAAGAGTAGAAATACCGTACTGGCACGAAATGACATAACAATCTTTCCGATTGTTTACCAATTGAATATGGGGTTCCGTAAGGATTGATCTGAGGTCCTATTCTCTTTGTTACGTAACGTACGTACAGACGTACGTAAACGATATGCCCTCGTCTATTAAAACCGGAAGAACAATTCTGTTTGCCGATGACATGAATGTTCTTTGCAAATAATAGTAAGATTTCAGAACTTTCAATTGGTTTTGCAATAATAAAATATAAGTTAACGAAGGAAAAACTGTTTCAATGCAATTTTGCATTTCAAATCAGTTATTGCATGCTCCATTGGAAATGAACAATACTAAATTAGCAGATGTTTCAAGGTAACAAAATTTCTAGGTGTCTCAAATTAATCAAACCATAAATGGAATGTACATATAGCATAATTAAAAACAATATTAAGTTCATTATGTTACGTATTGAGAATCCTTTCCAATTCTGTCAGCCTTCATGCAGCTTGTTGTGTATATTTTGCAAATGAGCATTCCCGCCTGAGATATGGCATACTATTCCGGGGAAGCTTATCATGTAGTGTGCAAACCTTTAGATTGCAAAAAAAAGTATTCGAATATTGAAAAAATTCCATCTACATGATCCCTGCAATCCTCTCTTCATAGAGCTTGGAATTTTACCATTGCCTAATCTATTTATTTACTAATCTTCAATATTTGTCGAAACTGACTTACTTACCAATGGGAACATATTTTCATGCAATACTGATATAATTACGAGAAACGTCGTAGAAATCACATCCATCAAGTGTCAGTATCAACAGCTGACTAGCAGTAATCCAGATAAAATACAGTACGTTACTTCACGCATTGCTAGATGCCATTAAAGAATGAAATTCGACACACAAATATAAGTAAAAAATAAAATATTTTCTGCTGCATAATTGATTTTATACAATTAAATACTATACTGAACATCAAAAACAAAAATACTATTATTTATTCTAACAAAACAATAATATATAATGCATTAATATACACTTGTATTGTATAATTTAAAAAGAAGACTTAATGTGTCTGTATCAAGTAATGTACTTCTGCTTCTGGGTCAATGACCCCAATCTCGATCAGGTTTTTGTCCAGTTTCCTAGATCCATTGATTCTGGACATAAATATAGCTTCTCTATGCGCACGTTTGCTATACCAACACCACGCAGACGTACTACATAATAGGCACCACCTAGACGTACTACATAATCTATGTGGTGTTTATTAAACTCTCGTTTTGCTTGTAGTGATAGGAGTAGAGCTGTGGTGAATTGCTTTTGTTGGCAATATAGAGGAATCAAATCTGGAATTCGTTTGCTGGTTCAAATAAGTTTTCTATAACTGGGGAGCGAAAATGTCTAGTTTCTACAAAAGTTGCTAATCACAGTTTTTTATCATTTTGAAAATATTTTGTTCACTTTCAACTATTAATAGTCCAAATGTTGGGAACGGTTCTGGAACTCAAGAAAACGTGTGCAGTTGATGTTCTTCCCTATACGTCATATACAGTTTCTACAGTTTTTGACTAAATAAATCGCTCTTCTAGACACAGTTCATCAGATAGACGTCTTCACACACGGAAGACTTGATGTAGACGCAAAAGCAAAAGAAGACATGGCAGGTAACGCTGCAATGTCTCGTTGATAAAGGCCGAAAGAGGAGAGCGTTTTTGTCGTACTGCAGGCACGCCGTTGATGACGACGCGGCCGCAGACGTAGTTCACATTCCTCGTAGTTCTTCCATTATGATGGGCAAGGATGGAGCAACAGCGACTCACTGACGGACTGGTGAACTGGTGTTCCTGTCTCATACGCACGTTCCGCTGTTTCCACTGTAGTGTAGAAGGGTTCGTTGCAAGAGAGTCAGGAGTTCTCAGAGGCGCGCAGCCTTAGGGCGGTGGAGGGCAAAATCATAATCCCGACACGCCGCATCCAAGCCAGTGATACTTTGTTCATCACGCATCAGACGCGTTGCCACGCAGGTACCGACACCGCAAAATTGATAACCAGGTAAGTGTAGGTCAAAAAGGATGGCGCAGAGCATTAACTAATGCCATTTGCAGTCCCTCTGACCGGAGTGGTTTCGTGGTTTCTCCGATCAACACAGGCCGAATGCCAGAGCCTACTAAAAGGGCCACCGACCGCGAGCGATTTTCCTACCTCTTCCTTGTCCTATCCTCTCCCTTACACACACATTAACACACATTACACAAGCACACATGCTTGGAGAACGGTCGGGAGCTCAGAGCTTGTCCTGGCGGTGCCTCGCTGGTGGGAGATACCAGGTTGGGGAAAACCCCGCAAGCCGACG